GACAGAATTAAAGACAATTTAATTTTGAACGAATTCACCAAATATTTTATTCAATTTGGACAAACCGTTCAAAAGTTACAAGACATACAATAAATAAGTACACGTGCAATTTGTTGAATTATAAATAGTACAGCGGGTCGAATGTGAGTTGAGAAGTTTTACTTCAAATATAGGCATGTTGGGTATCAAATGAAAGGTTTCGACAAGCTCAAGCTAAATATATTAGTAACAGCGTCAAAAAACAGTAGGGTTCTGAATAATGCAAATAATAAATATATTGCATATATATTGCTTTTTAAACACAATTTACTGGTATATCGAGTTGCTATAGGGCCTTAAAATGTTAGACAGAATTAAAGACAATTTAATTTTGAACAAATTCACCAAATATTTTATTCAATTTGGACAAATCGTTCAAAAGTTACAAGACATACAATAAATAAGTACACTTTAAACAATTTGTTGAACTATAGATAGTACAGCGGGTTGATTGTGAGTTGAGAAGTTTTACTTCAAATATAGGTATGTTGAGTATCAAATGAAAGGTTTCGACGAGCTCTAGCCAAATATCTTAGTAACAAAGTCAAAGTCAAAAAAGTTTTTTGAATCATTCAAATCGGATGCTTGGTTCTCTCAAAAACTGCAATTTTTTGCTCATTTATCTCCGTATCTCCGAAACGGCTGGACCTGCATTTGCAAAAAACTAATCACCACTTCTTTCCATCATTAGGAATTGAATATTTTTTGGATCATTCAACTCGGATGCCCAGATCTCTCAAAAATTCCATTTCTATTTTCTGCACTCTTTGCTCCGTAACTCCGTAACGGCTAGACCTACCTTTGCCAAAAACTAATCAGCACATCTCCATATCAATAGAAATCGAATGTTTTTTGAATCAATCGAATCGGTTGATCCGTGTGTCTGAAAACGTAGATGAAAAATTGTACCCATACATACACTCATACATACATTTTTTGTGAGGTGTGCCAAATTGTTCAGAAACCTTTGAAACGTGAAGATATGCAAAAAAATTCAATTACGATTTTTAGACGATTACATTTACAATAACTTAACCTACGGAAAGTAAAAAAAATATAAAAAATATCGACCGTGTTGAAAAAGTTAAATTTTTTATTTATCGACGTATCGACTTTTTAATTTTCTACATCACTCGTGTTGGTAAAAAGTGCAGGCGTGGGCGATGCACAATGCAATAACATCATTATGAAAATGTTGCAGACTCTTTCGGTTCACATTTCTGCATTAAGAACTTTTTTTTTTATTTTGTTGCGGCTCTAAAGTTGTTTGCGAAAATAGAATGTTACAGTAGAAAAATAGATTGAAACTGGTTGGGCATGCATAATACGGCAAATATCTAAATGATCAATAATCTACAAGAATTGATATTGGCATGCCTTAGAAAAAATAGATGTGTGTGTGTGTGTGCGGATACAACATTTTTTAAAAAAATTCAATATTTCTCAAATATCTAATATTTTCAAAGGTTTGCAAAGTTTTTTTTTTAAATTTAGTTTTCAATACAGGAAGTTCCAGCAATTTGCATTAAGTTACACCACTAGTTTCACTTAATTTTACTCTTCGAATATTTCATTATGTTCCAGAAGTTCCAGCAATTTTCTTTAAGACCTTAAGTGCCATACACCACTAGTTAAGGCACCACTAATTTTCAACAACGGACAGTTAAATCAATACTTTCATTCTATTTTCGCTTGACGTTGAGTTCTGGGACACCCTGTACACAAATAATTCAAGAAAACAATCCTTTTATCAATTTCAATTAAAAAAAAACGTTAACGTCTATTATGTTCGGGAAGTTCCAGCAATTTGGCTTAAGACACCACTGATTTTCCACAAAATTTTCAAGACAGTTAAATCAACACTATTACCCTATTTCGGTTTGACGTTGAGTTCTGGGACACACTGTACACCAATAAAATATTAAAACAATTTTTTTATCAATTTCAAATTTAAAAAATCGTTGACGTCCATTACGTTCGGGAAGATCCAGCAATTTCCCTTAGGGCGTCTCTAGTTCACAACAAAATTTTCAGGACATGTAGATCAACACTTTCATTCTATTTCGGTTTGACGTTGAGTTCTGGGACACCCTGTGAACCAATGAAATAAAAAAACTTCTATTAATCTCAATTTAAAAATCCGTTAACGTTTATTTAGTTCGGAAAGTTCTAGCAATTTGCCTTAAGGCACCACTAGTTCACAACAAAATTTTCAGGACATGTAAATCAACACTATCACCCTATTTCGGCTTGACGTTGAGTTCTGGGACACCCTGTACACCAACAAAATAATAAAACTATTCTTTCGTTAATTTCGATTTAGAAAACCGTTAACGTCCATTATGTTCGGGAAGTTCCAGCAATTTGCCTTAAAGCACCACTAGTTCACAACAAAATTTTTAGGACAGTTAAATCAATACCATCATTCTACTTCGACTTGACGTTGTGTTCTGGGACACCCTGTACACCAATAAAATAATAAAATTATTTTTTTATCAATTTCAAATTTGAAAAACCGTTAACGCCCAACACTTCACCCATTCTCTAACTGATGTCGCCACAGGCACAACATGTGAAATGACAGTTGAGTGTCATGACATTTAGTTTGTAACATAACCTTCAATCTTTATTTACAAACAAAATGATAAAATTATCTGTGAATCATAATAATTAGATTACTAATAATAATCAATTGTTATCAGTGTGAAATTAAATGTATTCCATAATGAATAGAATACAATAGAAAAATAAATCTATTTTTTATAATTACAATAATAATATTAATTGTTTCATGATGCCGTTCAAAGACAAAGGTCTTCATTATATTGAAATAGCAATTTATAGCTTTATATGGGTCGGTGGAGTTATATATTCTATTTTTAGAATTTATTTGAAAAGTCAAGGTGAGGAAATATAGTAGGAATTATAACAGAAACAATTCTTTTCTTTATTAGTACTTAATATTTTATAACAAGTACATGCTATTTACTATAAAATAGAGTAGCTTATTATTACTAGATTATAAAATAAAATTCATTCTTCAGCATAATTTCACATTCGAAGAGTGGAGTACAGTTTTTCCTTTGTCATCACCAAGTTGATATCATTTATTTTAAACAGGAAGTTTATATATATATATATATATATATATATATATATATATATAATTGATTATATATGTATATATAATCAATTGGCAGTTTCTCAATTGTCGAGTGAATCATTTTACACAACAGGTTCCAATAAAAAGTTAATTCGTTTACTGTAATGTTTGCAGGTTATGTAAAATCCAAGAAACTATTTACTATATATATATATATATATATATATATATATATATATATATATTATATATTTTCAATTTCGATTTCAGATTTTGCAAAAAGTTTCATCGATGACCTATCAGAAGGCTGGGCTTTACTCAGTCGTCCGAAAGACAACACCGATTCAGAATGGAGCACCTATTTAACAATGTTCCCACGAATAACACTTTCAACATTAGCCATTGTTTTTATTGGAGATATTATATCATTAATCGATAATAAGGTAAATCTATTTATATATCTTATATATAAATTTCTTCTGTACGAGTGTATAATTTGATACTTCTCCTAAACGGTTATTCGGATGTTGATCATTTTTTTTAGAGTTTGTCAAAGAAAATTTTTAAGATTTAATGAACGATAAAAACTATAGTAGTGTTGTAGAAATAAATGGCCAAAATTACAAATTTATTATTGTTTGACTTGACAACATTTGAACTGTGGTCTGCTAGAAATGTCAATTCACTTGAAATTTGAGTTTAGGTGAAATTATGAGCCTAAATATTATTACTCGTAGAATATAATATACAAGAAAAACGTACTTTTTACATTATTATTGACGAAAAGCAGCTGATATGTGCCAGAAATTAAAATAATATAAGATACATTATATGTTTGGCAGATGAAATTATATAATTCAGTTCTTTTATATAAACAGTACATAAATGATAATTAGTTTGCATATAGGTTATTTTTTTACTTTTTTCAAATAACTTTTCATTTTTCTTTGGGACATTATAATTTAGTTACATCAGTAAAATCTAGATAAAATTTACTAAAATTTAGTAAAACTTGTTATATACACTTGCATATTGAAATTTTGAATAAATCGTGGTTGAAATACAAATTTCAGTATTTCAATGATTTGCTAAGACATTTTTATACTTTTTTTTCGAATAACTTTTATTTTTCCTTTGGGACATTATAATTTAATTACATCAGTAAAATCTAGATAAAATTTACTAAAATCTAGTAAAACTTAGATATTGAAATTTGAATCTTGAAACGTAAAATGTGCCAATTCAATTTAAATAAAATCAGTTTCAAACCAAGTTGGCTCTTGCAAAGATTATTATTAAGGGACATTTATATCTTGCATGCTTTGAAGTGGGTAAACTATTCATATATTTTTTGTTAGCAGCTTCTTTTACTCATGCACCACATTTGCAATCAATTAGTTATTTTCGTACTAAACATTTTATACTAGAAATATTTTTTTATGGCCAGCTTGCATATATATAAAAAATAGATATTAGTTTGTCAAATATCTCCCTTCCGCTTTTTTGCTCTTGGTTTAATACAAAAAGGCGGAAGGGAGGTTGCCAAATATCTCCCTTCCGCTTTTTTGCTCTTGGTTTAATACAAAAAGGCGGAAGGGAGATATTTGACAACCTATTATATTACGTAAGCACTATAGGGCGGCTGATTTGCTTATTTTGCTTATTTTCGGTAAGAAATTTACTTACTTTTGCCGACAAGGGGGAGGGGGAGGGGGGGGTAAATAATTGTAATAAATCTGCTTACGTAATACTTGAACGATCCCATACTTAAATAATTATTATTTTATCCTTTCAGGCTACCAAATATTTCCACATAATATCTTCAGCCTTTTTCTCATTCCAATTCTTCGGTCCAGCGCCCACGGTTTACCTCTACATCCAATATTTAGCATTCTACTTAGCATCACGTGTTGGAAAAAAGAAATTCCTAATATGGTTACTAAACTTCGTCATAATTTTGTCATTAAACGTTGGAGAAATAAATAAAATCATGCAAGATTCCTTGCAAATATCAGACTCGGGTTATATCCTCTGGTGCATCACAGTTGCCTGGACAAACCTTCGAGGAACAAGTTATGGATTAGATTCGATAGAATTTTATCAAAATGTTGTTTTGAGACAGAAAAATAGAGCTGATTTTAACAAGTTTTTGTATATCCATGAAAGGAAGTATGCGATGGAAAAGTATCTGGCTTATTGTTCTTTTTTGCCGACACTGACGACTGGACCGATTATTTTGTACGATACTTTTGAACGTGGATTTTTGGTTGATGATGGAGAAATTCGGAAGAAATATGTGAAACTGTTTTGTCAGATTGGAAGATATGGTTTTTGGCTTTTGTTCACTGAAGTGGTACTGCACTTTTTGTATACGAATGCTATGGAACGTTATCCTTGGGTAAGGAAATATAATTATTGATTTAGGGTGGCCCTTAATATGGACATATTCGAATGATAAACAAAAAATACCCTGCAAGTTTCAAGTCTTAATTACCTTATTATTACCTTATGCAAGTACTTACTTGAGCTTGCTCTGTCTATCATTTCTTTGCAAAAAAAATCCCTGAAAGTTTTAGTTCTAATATTAACATTTAGATAGTCCGAAATTCAATTAATCAGTATAATTATTATTAGCTTATGCAAGTAGTCATTTGAACTTGCGCCAAATATTATTACACTTAAAAATATTTATATTATATAAAACACTGAACCTTTTAAACTTAAACTTAAACTGGGCTGTTTAACAAAATATTTATTCATCATAAATTTTGCATTAAAATATTTTTGCAATTTGTGATTTTGACACTCAAATCAAATCAGTAATAAATTTGCTATATAAATTACAAGTCTGCTACCACAGTTTTCTTCAAATAACTTTTAATTTTCTTTTGGCACATTATAATTTGTTTGCATCAGTCAAAACTAGATAAAATGGACTAAAATCTAGTAAAACTTGTTATATACACTTGCATATTGAAATTTTGCACAAATCGTGGTTGAAATTCGAACTTTAGTATTTCGATGATTTGCCAGGACATTACTTTGTATTTTTTTTTTCAAATAACTTTTAATTTTCCTTTTGGTACATTATAATTTAATTACATCAGTAAAAACATGATAAAATTTACTAAAATCTGGCATAACTAGTTATATACACTTGGATATTGAAATTTTGAATAAATCGTAGTTGAAATATGAATTTTAGTATTTAGATGATTTGCAGGACATTTCTTTTTATTTATTTTTTTCAAATAACTTTTAATTTTCTCTTGGGATATTATAATTTGCATATATCAGTAAAACTAGATAAAATTTACTAAAATCTAGCATAACTTATTATATACACTTGCATATTGAAATTTTGAATAAAACGTAGTCAAAATGCGGACTTACTAGCGGGGCGGGTATAAATACCCGTCGTAAGGAATGCTGCCTGTAGAACATTTTTTTTTACTTTTCTTCAAATAACTTTTAATTTTCTTTTGGCACATTATAATTTATTTACATCAGTAAAATCTAGATAAAATTAACTAAAATATAGTAAAACTTGTTATATACACTTGTATATTGAAATTTTGCACAATTCGTAGTCAAAATGCGAACTTTAGTATTTCGATGATTTGCCAGAACATTTTTTTTTTCAAATAACTTTTAATTTTCCTCTGGGACTATTTAATTTAATTACAAGTCTGCTATCACAAATGGCGCAAATATTTACTTAATAATAAATATACGAAACTTTTAATTAAATTGCGAACTAACTAAATGTTAATATAAAAAGCTAAAACCTTTAGACAATTTTTTTTTTATAAATTTAGAGACACTTGAGCTCTTGGGGGCAAAGAAATTTGACAAAATCCATATTAAGCACCACCCTTATATATATTTATATATATATATATATATATATATATATATATATATATATATATATTATATTTGTATATATAATTCAGGTTATCCAAGGCCTTAGTTATGGTATATTTGGTGGATTTTTCTATACAAAGAGAAAGGGAGGTTTAATTTCTCTTTACTGCTTAATTTTTTCGATTATGACATGTTTTATAATATTTTTGGTGAGCTTTCCAGAAAAACGTCAGGCTTAGGTAATGAAATTGAAATATTAGAAAAGCATGAATTTTTTTAAAGATATTATTTCATGTCAAAAATATTTTCATTCAGCCATCATTTTATCTAATTCATTCTTAGGGTATTATCATTTGCATCATTTTTCTGCACTTAGTTTTTTGACTTCCAATAATTTAGTACATTCATAATTTTCAATACGTATATGGATTTAGAGCATTTTTTTCACGTTTGTTCAAATAACTTTTAATTTTCTTTTGGGAAATTATAATTCAATTACATCAGTAAAATTTAGATAAAATTTACTAAAATTTAGCAAAAGTTGTTATATACACTTGCATATTGAAATTTTGAATAAATCGTAGTTGAAATACGAATTACGAAGTATTTAAATGATTTGCTAGGACATTTTTTTTAAATTTTCTTCAAATAACTTTTAATTTTCTTTTGGGACATTATAATTTGTTAACATTACAAAAAACTAGATAAAATTTACTAAAATCTAGTAAAACTTGTTATATATATTCACTTATTAAAATTTCGTACAATTCGTAGTCAAAATGTGGACTTACTAGCGGGGCAGGTATAAATACCCGTCTTAAGGCGTAGAACATTTTTTAAGCTTTTTCCAAAAAATTTTTAAGTTTACTTTGACACATTATCATTTATTAACGTCAGTAAAATCTAGATAAAATTTACTAAAATTTAGTAAAACTTGTTATATACACTTATATATCAAAATTTTAGATAAATGAGAATTAAAGAGGCACTAATATATTTCTACTGTATTGTGTGTAAATTTTGAATAAATCGTAGTTGAAATGCAGACTTTAGTACTTATATAATTTGCAAGGACATTTTTTCAGTTTACTTCAAATAATTTTTAATTTTTCTTTGGCACATCATAATTTCTTTATATCAGTAAAATCTAGATAAAATTTACTAAAATTTAGCAAAACTTGTTATATACACTTGTATATAAAATTTTTTAACAAATAAGCATTGTGTTGTGCCTAGAACTTTCTGGCTAATTTTATGTTACATACATCTTTTCTCAAATAATTTTTTTGCTATCTAAATCCCTTTAATTTAATTTAATCATTTAATTTAAAAACGTGTAATAATCAAAAAAAATCTTGCCTGCTAGAAAAATAACTATAATAAATATGTCATTTATATTTTCAACCCACCCAATCAATTTTATTTCTACTTATAAACACTATATACACTTGTATATCAAAATTTTGAAACAAATAAGAATTGAAGATGCACTTTTGTGTTGTACCTACATCTTTCCAAATAATATTTTTGTTGCTATCCAAATCCCTTTAATTTAATTTAAACATTTAATTTAAAAAATCTATATTAATAAAAAAATCTTGCCTGCAAAAACTATAACAAATGTGTCATTTATATTTTTAACCCTCCCATTCAATTTTATTTCTACTTCCTCCAGTGGGTTCAAAATCTATCACCATGGGAAATGTACGGCTATGGATATCTTCTAGGGCAATTTTTTTTGTTGAAATATGTTGTCATATATGGCATATCTGGTGCTTTAACAAGAGCCTATGGTGTAAATGCACCACCAACCCCCAAATGCATTGCAAGAATACATCGATACTCTGACATGTGGAGATATTTTGATCCTGGACTGCACAGCTTTTTATTCAGGTAATAAAAAGATACATGAGAAGTTTTTGGTATGATTTTATATGGATTATTGATCTAAAACTTCTTTAGGCGCGACTAGGGTGTAATTCCGTTAATATTTTAAGCAATGAGATATAACATTTTATTACAATATAATTATTTTTTTGCAAAAATCCTCTGCTACTCGACGAGACCTTTTAAACGATATACAATATGCCCTAAAAGATACTATCAAAAATTTTGAAGTAAAACTTCCTTAGACTCCTCTCCTGCAGATTCGTAAAAAGCGTATATTTTTTAGACAAACCACGTGGTTTATTTCAGTATTCGGATTCCATTCAGAAAGACCTTTCAAACGATACCCCACATGCTATAAAAGATACTATCTAAAATTTTTGAAGTAAAACTTCCTTAGACTCCTCTCCTACAAATTCAAGCGTATATTTTTTATACAAACCACGTAGTTTATTTCAGTATTCGGATTCTATTCTAAAAGACCTTTCAAATGATATCCAACATGATATAAAATACAATCTGAAATTTTTGAAGTAAAACTTCTTTAAGCTCGCTTAGTACAAAAAAATTAAAAGAAAATTGTGTTGACGTAAATAGCATGACATATGGATGGAATGGCAAAAGAATAAGATAGGAGTCGAGCGCCAATGATTCGTCATTCGCTCTCGATGAAATCATTTCAATACGAGTCGATTGTGATTAGTCGTCGTGTATGTGAATAGAGATCTGTCGTTGTATGCGTACCGGCATCAACGTTGTATGTGTAAGGATACAAGAAGGAAATTGAAATGTCATGAGTTTTGAGATTACATCGTAGTACAAATCTTGATTTAATGAAAAATGCCTGAATGAGAAGAATATTTTGCCCCTGTTTCTTGAAAATAATAGAACAAATTAAACAAATTAAACAAAAAGGGACTCTACTGACGACCAAATTAAAAATGAAAAACGGAGGGGACTCTACTAACGAGCAAAATAAAAATAAAATTCATAGAGACTCTACTGATGATTAAATTAAAATTAAAGGTAAAAGGGACTATACTGACGAGTATACTCAAAGGGGCTTTACTGACGAGCAAAACTAAAAATAAAAGAAAAATAAACTATACTGATAATTGAATTAAAAATGGAAGAAAATGAGACTCTACTGACGCGAAAACTAAAAATTAAAGGAAAAGGGACTCTACTGACGACCAAACTAAAAATCAAAACGGTGGGGGGACTCTGACGAGCAAAATAAAAATAAAATTCAAAGAAACTCTACTGATGATTAAATTAAAAATTAAAGAAAAATGGACACTACTGACGAGTAATCTAAAAATAACATTGAAAATGGACTCTACTGACAAGCAAAATTGAAAATGAAAGAAAAAGGGACTCTACTGACGAGCAATCTAAAAATAACATTGAAAAGGGACTCTACTGACGAGCAAAACTAAAAATAAAATCAAAAATGGACTTGTAGTTTCTATAAATCTTTGAAGTTATTAAAATGGAACATATTTTTTAGGCAAGACAGATATTGCAGCTGTTCAAAGAATGAATTTGTATCGCCAGCGAAATAGTCAAAAAAAATTCAAGCAGTCAATGAATGTATTTTAATTTTAATTACATGAAGTTATTCAAACACAATTATTACATGATGAGTGAAGTTGCAAAAACAATATTTTTTAAGCAATTACTTCATTTCTCTAACGAAGGTTCCGTTCTAAATGCTAATTACAATGACAAACCGATCATGTCGTATTTGAAGTATGACTTTAATTACATTATTGTTTTGAAATATTATACATATTTTTAATGCTAAAAGTATTCTTTTTGTACTATGATGGTACTTTAAAATGTTTATTTATCTATGGCAAATTCCTCCACGCATGCAACGACAGATCTCTATTCACATACACGACGACTTATCACAATCGGCCCGTATAGAAATGATTTCATCGAAAGCGAATGACGTAACGCATTTGTACGTGGCGCCCAAAGAAGTTTTACTTCAAGAATCTGTGCATTAGTGTTACCATATTACTAATAAACATTATTTAAAATTGTTATATGATGCATTTATTTTTACTTAGATGCCATCTTGTACAGTAGCAAATAAGTTTTACTTCAAGTGAATCTTACGCGCACTCTTTTTTTTTCAGATACGTGTACCTTCCCATGAGATCTTGTTACTCGGAGTTACTGACAAACAATTTATTCAATAAAATAATGTCTTCGTCATTTTGTTTTTTTTATATCTACATCTGGCACGGAACAAAACCTTACATAATGATATGGTCTTTCTTGAACTACCTCGCAGTAACCATAGAGACGATTTGTGACGCAATCGAAGCTTCAGATTTTTACCAAAATTTGACAAAAAAATATTTGTCGCACTATTGGCAACTTAGATTCAACTCGGCGATCACTTGTCCCTTACTGGCGATGTCGGCGATTTCGAATTTTTATTTTTTTGCCGGGTTGGATATAGGTACGATTTTTTTGGAAAAGTTTTTGTATGCTGATTGGTCTGTTAATTTGACTCTTTTTGGGTTTTTGTATGCTGCTTGTAATGTTTCGCATAAGATTAAGATTTGGGAAAATAGGCGGATGGAGAAAAGCAAAAAGCAGTAAAACCGGTAAAACCAGTAAAACCTTGTCAAGACGATTTTTTAAGGAATTTTCCGCTACCTAGTACCGCCACATCACTCCCCCCTTCAAATATGAAGTTACTAAAGACTTATTTTCTGTTTTTGATCTTTCTTGGAAAATTTTCAATTTATCTAGCATCGATTTAGAAAATAAACCGTTTAAAATGTTTTCTCGCTGCCTAGTACTACCACATCACTCCCCCCTTCGAAGAATAAATTCACAAACAACTGTGTTTTTTGCACTTTTTTTCTAATATTGTCTCTATTATTTACCATCATAACAAGTTTCTACCGTAGAAAACTTTATATATAAAAAAAATTAAGCGTTAGTATGTTCTTCCTCTATTTAGTACTGCCACATCACTCCCCCCTATTATTTATTTAGTATTTTTTGTCATACTGTCTCTATTATTCACCATCATATCAAGTTTCTACCATAGAAAACTTTATATATAAAAAATTAGGCGTTAGTAATGTTTTTCTGCTATCTAGTACTGCCACATCACCTCCCCCTTCGGAGGATAAATTCACAAACAACTTGGTTTTTTGCACTTTTTTGTAATTTTTGTGATATAGTCTCTATTCTTTACCATCTATCATAGAAAATTTTATATGCAAAAAATTAAGAGTTAGTAATGTTTTCTCGGTACCTAGTACCGCCACATCACTCCCCCCTTCGAATGTGAAGTCACAAAAAACTGATTTTCAACGAAAGGAAATTTTGCTGTTGCGTTTGGCAACTCATTGGTCAAACAGAATTGAAAACTCTGAATTTAACCTAGAATTTATTAATTTAAAAAATCATCACTTCCCCCTTCGAGTGTGAAGTCACAAAAAACTGATTTTCAACGGAAGAAAATTTTGCGGCAACTCATACGTCAACCATAAATGAAAACTTTGAATTCACCTTGCATTTATTAATTAAAAAAATATAAATGTTTCCTCCCTACTGCCACATCACTCCCCCCTTCGAAAAATGAATTCACAAACAGAATCTGTTTGTAGGCGAGTGTGTGTGAGTTTGTTTTAAATTGACGTATTAAGCGAGAAATTGTATTAATCGTCTTAACTGAATTGGTACAGTCGAATTTGAGTGGAAAACTTTAAATTTTAAATGTTTTCTCGCTACCTAGTACTGCCACATCACTCCCCCTTCGAAAAATGAATCCACAAACAGAATCTGTTCGTAGGCGGTTGTGTGTGAGTTTGTTTCAAAGTGACGTGTTATGCGAAAAATCGTATTAAGTATTTAAAAATCGTCTTAACGGGGTTTTACTGCATTTTTTTGTATTTTTTGTGATATTGATATAATGTAAGATCTGAATATACGCTTCGAATAGGTTTAAATTATTTTTAGTCGATTGATTGTTTCATTGTAAGGTATTTTCAGAAGAATTAATAAGTAATCAAATAATATAATATAATATTTATATTTAAGAAAGTCAATTGTTGCCAAAATATAATATTTCTTATATATAATATTATAAAAATATTGATTTTTTTGTTAATTTTTTTGTAATCGTGATAAATAATTCGAATGCAGGAGATTGTAATAAGTGACAAATAGGATAAGGAATTTTATAATATAATAATAATAATTTTATAATATTATAAGTTTGCATTTACATCGTATTATTAATAATAATAATAATAATAATATAAATTTATTCCAGTAAATATTTTTATTAAAAATTCTTTAAACTTCCAAGTACCGCATAGGAATTATTATGTATTAATCTTATATTATTAATAAAAAAAATGTAATAAGGTTTCAAATAAAAATACTCAAAATGTAATTTGTTAATTTGTGTTTTATTCATTAGGTGTTAAATTTTTAACACTTTTATTTTATAAAATTTTAGTTTTTAAGGCTGGCTAGATAATTTTTACTTTTAACGGCACTTGAACATTTTGATATAAGTTTTGAGATAAAATTAAAAAAATCAAATATATATATATATATATATATATATATATATATATATGTATATATTTACCAAAAAGATAACTTTTTTATCTTTTTTTCAAATAATGTATAATATTGCGGAAGTGCTAATCTACATCCGATCGTAAAAAATTGCAAAATCGAATTCTTAGACCTTGTTCAACAAAATCTTATTAATTCTCAATAATTCGTGTAAGTTGACCTAGAAATGCGAACACTTTATTATTACAAATTTTATAATCTTTACATATGAATAAAATTGGAGTGAAAATGAAAATTTAGAGTTGTATGTAATATTCATTTCCAAATTTAAAAAAATACCAGCGATTGCTGAAAATTCTGGCACCGCAATTTAAAATTTTTAAAAGCTCAGAAAAATATTAGATTGCCTTGAAAATTTTAAATTTTTTCGATAAAATTTTTGGAAACGTTTGAGATATTTGAATATTAAAAAAATTGACACTACGTAAATACCTTTTTTTGAATATTATGAATTTTTAAAAAAATCTGAAAATTTTTGAAAACTTTGTTTTTTTTATTTGTAATTTTTTTTCAAGTTTTTGATACCCAATCATGTTGGTTGATCTATACTGTCGAAAATATCTGTTCTTCACCTGCTAAATGGCATTTTTTAAAACTTTTTTTGAATCTCTGTGCCCGCTATATTTGCGAAAATGTAACTAATTTTTTATTTCGAGTGATTTTTTTTCTGAATCATTCAAATCGGATGCTTCGTTCCCTCAAAAACTTAATTTCAATTTGCCAAAAACTAATCACACACATCTCGGATTTTGAATAAATTAAATCGGTTGATCCATGCTCCCGAAAACGTGGACGAAAATGTGTTTCCATACATGATAATGTAATACTCATCTATGAAAAATACTACTACGGAAAGTCAAAAATAATAAAAACTGATCCCAAATTTAAAAAAAAAAATGGTATATGGCACCGTGCCTTAAGGCAAATTGCTGGACCTTCCCGTATCGTAATTAAAATTTTGAAAATCTGAATTTTTTCGTTATTTTGAAATATTCTTTTTTTTCTCAAATACATTTGTTTCATCAAGACAAGTTTTTTTGGATCTCATTCAAAATGTTCTTTTTTTTGTCAATCAAAACTTTATTAAAGTTTTATAATACAAAATTGTTGAGGTTTATAAAAAACAAAAAATTAAACCTAAATACAAAAATATAAATGTAAATAATAAACAGAATATTGAAAACGTGAAGAAATGAATGAAATCAATTTTGATTTTTGGACTATCCTACGAGAAGTTAATAATGCAAATTTATTATTTTATTTATTAATTCAAGATTTTAAAAAAACTGGTGTTTGTTAAGGTTGGATAGAAATAAATTGTCTTTTGAAGTAAAATTCTCTTAACTTTTCTTAACCTCAAAAAAATCAAAAATAAATTTTAGTAAAAAAATAATCACAGCAACTAAAATATTGGTTTGACGTAGGAAGATGAAAATTTAGGGCTGTGTATGATATTTAGCTACGATTTGTAGAAAAATCTCAAGAATTCACAACCCTTACCACTTAGGGGTATAAAAAAGAGCGCGCATAATTGTGTTTGAAGAACTTCATGTAATTAAAATTAACATACATTCATTGACTGGTGATATTTTTTTTACTATTTCGCTGGCGACATAATCTCATTCTTTAGTAATTGTGATAAACTGCTGCTTTCGTGTGTGTATTTCAAATGATCGGATAGTCTTATACACCCATATCTTCTTAATAACCGAATAATAAAACTTTGTATTGATTTTCAAATAACAAATCACTTTTTTGTGTCCCGTAAAAGGCCGTTACACCTGAACGACTGCACACGCTATAAACACAAACATATATATAAACATACATACATATACATATATATACATATGTATATATATATATATATATATATATATATATGTATATATTTATTTATATTTATAATTATAACAACTTATAGGTCCATGACTCATGTGAGCAAAACAGATCTCCTTTGTGATAGCCAATTAGCGAAAGTCAACCTTCAAGGTACGTTTAAGATTCAGGTATGTATAACAGGTAGAAAAATTCATATATATATATATATATATATATATATATACATATATATATATATATATATATACATAACACAAAAAATCATAATGCATAACAAATAAATATATCGATTAAATCTCAATGGATTTCGATCGCTGAATTTGCATTACTAAAGAGGAAGTCCGATATCGGTTATTTGTTATTCAATTGTTATCTATTTTTTTATTATAGATAAGCATGTTATTAATTTTTCTAAGGAGAAGACAGAAAACCTAATATGTTACTTGGGGACGTTACAAGTTATTCTGAATCGTTTGATGCCATAATTGTAATAGTACATTGCGTGGTTCCTCTTAAGGCAAGGGCTTTGAAGATTTTTGAGAACTGAATTTTTTTGCAAATTTTGAACGTTTTTTTTTTGAATATTTTTAAAAATTTTGAAAATGATGGAATCATTTGAATTTTTTTGAAGAAAATAAAGAAAACTACTTGCTTCTCAAATTTCATTTAAACAATTTTGATTTTTTTTGAATGTTCTGTTTTTTGGAAATTGTGCCTCGTTGTAGTCTAACGTTTAAATCAAAATCTTGGTACGCAATCTAAAAAAATAAAAATTAACATGTATACTTGGTATTAAAAACTTTATAAAATATTTAATAATTTGATGAGCTTAACTTGCGTTCCCAGAAATTTAAGCAGTTTTTAATTAAAATGTTTTTTGAATAATTCAAATCGGATGCTCCGTTCTCTCAAAAACTCGATTGCTATTTTCTGCACTCTTTGCTCTGTATCTCCGAAACGGCTGGACCTGCCTTTGCCAAAAATTAATCAGCAAGTCTACCCATCAATAGGAATCGAATGTATTTTGAATTATTAAAATCGGATGATCCGTCTTCTCGAAATCGTCGACAAAAATTTGTATCCAAACACACACACACACATTTTCTCACGTCACTTACCCTACGAAAAAAATTAACTTGATTTTCAAATTTGGT